TAATTTATGTATATCTCAGATGACATGATATATATGAGTTATTTGTATAACAATAAGAATAGATATGAGTTACTTTTATAACGTGAGTATATCAATTATAAATGGCAAAGTTGAGAGGTGTATCAGGTCATTTTCCCTTTAAATTATATACAATAATAACTATAACATAATTTGCAACGTCTTTTAATACTATACGATATTTGATAAGATTTAATCCTTTCACTATAAGAAAAAAATTATTTTTCCACCGAAAAAGGTTATTTTGGTGAATTGGTGTGAAAAGAAAAACACAATAAATGTTTCGGAAAAATTAGGAAGTTCCTCACTGTTTCAGTAACAATTTGTTTTCGACCATGCATTTTCTCAGTGAACTAGTTCGATAAAAAATGAGTGGAAAATCATGTTCTATAACACAAATTTTTTCGTGATTTGCAATGAATAAACCTTATTTCTAATATTATCTTGCCTTCGCCCCTTCGCTCGTAAGTAGATTGCCTTGATATGTGCGTCTAGTTTGTATTTTTTCGAAGGCTAGAAAACTCATGGCCCCCTCTCCTTTAGTTTAACCTTTTATAGAATGTAATTACTTGGTTCATTATTTTTTCTTGTTATTAATTAGTTATATTAAATTAAATTATGGATAGTATACTTTTTAATATAAGTGTTACTTAGAGTTTCAGTTTGCTCATAAGTTGGCAATTTGACAGCCTTTTTCTAGCACAAACTTTTTTTAAAATATCAAACATTTATTTGTCTAACTGGATACTCCTGTCATCGACCAAAAGGCCAACTTTCTTGGTAAATAAAGTCCACCGCCCAAATAAATAACTTTCCCACTATAATTTTGAAATTGTTTTTTTTTTTTTTATGTATGTATTTGCAAAAGGAAGATATAAAAATAATATTCTCAATTTTTAAAGATTAGTACTAAATTTTGTTAAATCTTTAATTTGCTTAATTAGTTCACTCATTTCTTTTGATGTTTCAAGCTATGTATTTCTTATCAAATGTATATATATGTATATATACAATAGATAAAATTGACTCGACCTTTTAATTAATGCTTGATGAAAATCTATAAAAAGTGTTTGCAAATAATTAAAAATTATCAATACACACAAAAAAATGGAAATGTTAAAATAGACCAAAGCGCTCGATGCATAAAATATTCATTGTCATCTAGTGTTTAGAGAAAAGTGACACCCCAAAGAGAGTATAACACTGTATAACAAAAATAAATTTTAGTGGCAACAAATATGCTCATTAACAAAGAGTGCTAAAGCTTTATCGGTATTAGTTAATTGTCATTGAATCCAATGTCGCTATATGTTTTAGGGACATTTATAAAGAATGTTAATTGCCTTTAAAATATATATATATTTAACGACAATTAAACTATTTACATTCATTAATTACCGTTAAAAATTATTTTTAATATAATATAATGTAAATAACATACCCCTAATACAACCCTTAAGAGCTGATTCTGCAATATTATATATATATATATATATATAGTTGCTAACTTGTAATTGCATCTGACTACCATTATCCAAAAAGACCTAATTAACAGACAAAGAAAAACAAAATAAAAGTTTCTTGCAAGCAAGAAAGAAAAGGAAAGATAATGGCTAATTAATTTTTCCAAGGTATTTAGGAACATTACTGCTCCCTCTATCCAATTTTATTTGTCATGTTACGCTTTTCGAAAGTCAATTTGACTAATTTTTAAAGTTGAATTAGATTATTTTGATTCGATATTTTAAACAAAACATTTAAATATTCAAAAACTATACGAAAAATACTATAAATTGTAAATTTTTGCATATCAATATGATGAAAAAATATATCGTAAAATATTAGCAAATTTTTTTATTATTTGACTCTAAAAAAAAAGGCTATGATGATAATTAAAAGTGAACAGAGACAGTAACAAGACATCAGCCAAACTCAAAGAAATTAGTATTATTTTTTCTTTGAAAATCAACGTCAACTCACAATCAATTAATGCAATATTATAAATTAACAACGACAATTTTCCCCATAATACAGTTACGTTGCTGACTGCAAAGGCATTCATTAATGTTTAACGGTAATTAATTAATGGTAAATTTTAATTATCACTAAATACATTTAAAATGACTTTTAACACTTTTTGTAAATGTCTCTAAAACCTCTAGCGACACTAGATCTAATGTTAACTAACTCATGACGATAAAGGCTACACCATTATTGTTAATATACATATTTATCATTGTTGAAAACTATTTTTAAGTGATTGTGGATAGTTTAATAGAGTGTACAAAATAATATTGAATAAAGTGCATTAGTTATATTAGAATTAGTTGTGTTAAACTATTTTTTATTTATTATTTGGTTTAGTATAATAAGGATAGTTCTATTTTTACTTATGCTTATTTATTATTAATAGTCTATGCATTGTTAATATTATAATTATTTGCTATGTATTAGTTTTACCCTCTATAATAGTGATAGGATATATATATAACTAATAATGCATCTACCAGTTATCCATAGGCTCAAGATCCTATGAAATGAAAGATTAAATACTACCAATAATATGGATCGTTTAGTAGGATACATTAGGAAAAATAATATATGCATTAGTTTTTTGTATTACTAATACTTTATTGGTACACTTTTTCAATATAGTAGACATAATACATAAACGTACTATTTGATTTGGCCTTAGCATCCCAATGACATGACCCTAGATAGAATGATCTGATATGATACGATACTTAAAGACTATGATAGAATACTATTACCAATAAGGGTTGTAGAGATATAAATACTTCTTCATTCTTAATCAGAGATCTTGAATTCAAATCCCTTAATCGTCTTATTGTCAGAGAATGCTCTACCTTCTAATATAAAACTTTTCGATATAAATTTAAATTTAATTACGCTTTAATATATTAATCATTTTCTTTAAATTCACTTATGAAATTATACTGATACGTTATCTTTCTAACCAAACAAAAGAATGAAAAGGAAAGAGAGAGAATCTAATATGAAAGCAGAAGAATACGACAAAGTAAGGGCGGCTAGAAGGTGAACACGTGTCTATTGGCAATACAAACAGAACCCACAAACCAAAAGACAAAAAAGATAATGGAATTTTGCCAACCAGCAATATTAATGGTTCTTATACTTTTTCATTCTCTTTTCAAATAGTATAATCATATTCTTTTAATCCCCCACCTAAGGTTCTTTCCTTTTTGTTTGGCGTTCGATATTTATAATAGAATCTCATCAAATTTAATTACACTAGAGTTAAAGGATTCTTATATAAAAATGACTTCATACTCAGAAGAATTCGAGTCTAAAATTTCTAAAAAGGATGAACGATAACTTATCACTCTGTCACAATCTTGATCGTTATATTACTCTTCCTTTCTTTCCCTTTGAATGTTGTACATGAGTAGTGAAAGAATAAATGTTGTCTATAAGTAGCATAGATCTCGAATAATCGAATTTTTATGTTTTTCTTTTTAAATGAATTGGTCTTTAATTTTTATTTTTTATCAATTGAATTTATATGTAATAGGAATAAGTTTAGAAATTAAAGTGATATCTGGATATAACTTGTGAGATATTATGATACGAAAATATAAATTTATGTTTTGTTGAAAAGTAATTTTTGCACTAAAATAGAAGTGAAAGTGCAAATGACCCTATATCAAATCATGGCAAAAATAAAAAATCATGACAAAAATAATTATGAGATTTCATGCTCTAGATAAAAATTCTTTGAAATGAAATTGCTTTTGATATATAGGAAATGTTTTATCCATAAAATATGACTTCTTCTTGAAATTTTGGATTAATTGGGTCTTAAAGTAAATATCAATGAAAAAACAAAAGTTAATTTTATATTATTGTCTGCTAATTCCATTGTTGGATCCACCGTTATATTGTTCACGTGGCATTTTTTATGCCCTAAGAAGTGATATGTTAGTTATTAAGAAAAATATTTTATTTGGTGAGTTGAATATGTCTTTACCCCTTTGAATCACATATTTACAAAGTTTATCATAATTAATCTCCAGAGTTAAAAAAAGAGAAAGAAAGATTAGTTTTTTTTTTTTGGTATTTCTCACCTAGTGTCAAATATCTGGTTTGAGAAGACTAATTTGAATTCATATCAGAATATTTCGTTACTTATTTTGGAGCTCGATTTTATCTGAATTTGTGTCCATAAATCCCACTTCGAAGATAAAGTGCTCATGTTTTAGTGATCGATCAATTCAAATTTGTATTGAGAAGTTCAATTTTGATGATAAGGATCTCCTATTTTAAAGTTCGACTAATCTAAATTCACATCTGGAAGTCTTATCCAGTGTCCAACACCTATTTGAGGAAAAACTAATTTGAATTCATGCCAAAATATATGGCTACCTCATTTTGGAGCCTGATAATCTTGTGTCAGAAAATCTCATTTCAAAGGTGAGTACTTCAAATTTAGAGCTAGACTAATCTGAATTTGCATCGAAAAATCTCATTCATGGAACAAAAATATCCTATTTTGAAGCTCGATTGATCTAAATTTACATCTAAAAGATCCACCTTACAAAGACCCACCTTATCGATAAAGTACTTGAATCCAAAACATCTAATTAAAGACTCAGGATACTTATCCCATGACAACCTTTGGTAGTAAAGAATAGTCATTCCATTTTTTTCTTATATGTGGAATAGAAGCACCACATAATTTATCAAGTATGTCACTTACAAAATATTCTTTAGCCTACCATATAAAATAAAATAAAACTAAGCTAAATGCCAATAAATTTTCATAAAAATGGAAGAGTTGTTTTTCTTGACTTTAACAACACAAAAAGACTATTCAAAATATCAGCACTAACTTCCCAACTTGTCACTATAATAATGCAACTTGTTGAAAGCCAAGTCTATCTAAAATAATAGCAAAAGTACTACACTAATATTAATGATCAAACCACAAGAGGAATTTAGAAATAATTCTGATAAGCTCAATCAATATATTGAAATACAACTCCAATTCATTGAAGAAGATAAAGAACTTATTATAAAGAATTATAAGAATATAACAAATGACTCTTTTTTCAATCACTTAATTGTTGAAACAATGTGATTAGTTATCCTTCCCTATCCCCCATTTTTCTTTCCCCATATAACTAAGGGAATATGTTGATGTTTCTTCCCTTGAAACTAATGGTTAAACTTATATCCAATATATCGATAAGAATTTCGAAAAGAATAATTAATTAAGCCACGATACGCTCCTGGTCTATGTACATTTGTTCCAGCCACGGTGGAATGGAGTCACGAACACCACCACCGTACTTCTGCTGCTCTGAACTGTATAGCCCAGTACCAGTAGAGGACACATCTTTCACCAAGGAATGAACCCACGACACGTCTGGCTCGTTGAGTTGAGATGGTGTGATTGTTGATCTTGTTGGAGCACCATTTCCACCGCGAAAACCAAAAGATTGAGATCTCTTGAGCTTGTTTGTGTCATCACTATTGAAGCCCCATTCCAATTTCCCATCAGGGGAGCCCCAATCTGATGACATCAAAGGTGGTGAGTTAGCAACACCATTTGGAACAGCACGATGCCCCATTCCACTACGGTCAATAAAACTCTGGCTACGCTTTGCAAAAGCAGCAGACCTCGAGTTCATGACCGCTTGAGCCACTGCTGCTGATGAGTCGAATCCATAGGTTGAGGGCATCCTCAATGGAGAGGATGATTGAGGAATGTTGGTATAGCTTGATTGAAATTGGTTCATGTTTTGTCGCATCTGAAGCCCGGTTGGAGATTGCATCTGGGAGCCGTTACTTGACACCTTAGGTGAGAGACCTTGCAAATGAGGAACCGATGGAGAATACAACTGAGAGCTGGTGGTGGCTGTAACTCTCGGAGAAAGGCCCTGCAAGTGGGACAGCAATTGAGAATCCATTGATCCGAAAACATCATCAAGATTAGTAGGCTTCAAATCCGCCATCCGATTGTCCTTATTCCAATAAGACGGTGAAGAGAGACCAGCCATCTCATCTATCAATTGCTGTCTTAGTTGCTGCTGTGTGCGGATGCTTTCCAAGCCAAGCATGTCCATGTCCAAATCCAAGTCCCGAGCGTTTAGAGATGTCTTTAGCCTACTGCCAGGAAGCTGTAATGCAGGTGGGGTGATGTTCACCTTGTTCTGCCACATGTTTCCACCCATTGGAGACGAACATGTTACAGCAGGAGACATCGGTGGTGTTGAAGTAGCAGGCAGTAACATGGACGAAGAACCAAGAGCCAGAGGGCTCAATGTTGACATATCCATCGAGCCGGCTGGACTAGCCTTTGGAGAAGGGATAGCTGAACCAGTTGACGCATACAAGGGGCGTAGCTCTTCAGGCTTGTGAGCAAAGAAGCAAACTTTCCTTGAGCACCCGGTCTCATCCTTGCAGAGACGGGTTCTATATTGGGCAGGATGAAGCCATGACTCGAATACACCATGAGCATACTCACAAGAATCATTCTTTGCACAAACACCTTTCTTGAACTCGGGACATGGAACACAAGTATAGTTATACTTCCTTGGATCGCGTCTCCTTGCGTTCTCCCCTGGATGAACAAAAGGGCATTCAGTCCAATCATGAGAATATGCCCTTGAACATGGCTTAACCTTGAAACAATACATCCTGAAATCATCACTCCCATAAATCCCATCATTTATGTCCGGCAAGGAAGTATCAATCGGATACTCTTTCTTCTCGCTTCCTTCTTTCGTCATCTGGATTGCTGCTTTTCCTTCTTCTTCCTCCTCCAGCTCAGCAAGCTCAGCCAAGCACCCATTCAACAACTCCAGTGACTTCCTTTTCGAATTCCTCAAGGACTTAGGATAAGAAGCAATCACATCAGAAGGCCTGTTTCCACTAGAATCACAAACATTAACATCAGCAGAAGCATCAATCAAGATCTTGAAAACCTCAACCGATGATTCCAAGCCACCAGCTGCAGCACAGTGAAGAGCAGTTGCACCATCAGAGCCACAAGCCCTGTTGACATCAACCTTACCAGTTCCAACAATATACTTCAAAATCTCAATACTCCCATACATGGAAGCAATCATCAGAGGGGTTCTCTCTTCAAACCCCATCTTTTTCGAACCAAATCTTCTCCCATACCAAAAGCTGAACTCATCAACAGCACAACCTTTCTCAACTTCACATATGAAGCTAGAAAGATCATCTGAAGCTGACAATTCAAGCAATTTTGAGCAATTTCTACCATGCCCATCTTTCTGATCCATGTTTAAATCAGAAGGACAAACTTTACTCCTTGAACCAGTACACATCAATTCCTGCAAGTCATCAAAAAGCCTCAGATTTAGATTTGCTACTCCATCCAACACATAAAAAATCACAAATTCCAAAAGTAACAAACTGTATAAATCTAAATCAATACTGTAACTCTTCCTAGATTTACATTTGCTACTAAATCAAACCCATAAAGCTGTCAAATACTGAACCAAAAATGTAACTTTTTTTTCCCAAATCCAATGAACCCATCAGAGAAAACCCCACCAAAACAATAGATCTCATAAATTTCAACAAAATAAAGAAAAAACACACCAATAGTCAACAAAAACTGAAACCCATCACAAGAAAGTTCCAAAGTCTCAATCTTTTTTCAAAAAATTCCATACCCATAAACTAAATTTACCATAAAAGGACAAAAACCCCATACTAGAAAAGTAAAAAATAGAAAGAAAAAAAAAAAAAACTAGAAACCCATCTCACAACTAGTCAACAAGAACTGAAACCCATCACCAAAAAGTTTCAAACTTTCAATCTTTTTCACAACATACTCCATACCCATAAGCATTTTTTACTATAAAAGAACAAAAATAACCTAATTTTTTTACCATACTAGAAGAAACTAAAAGCAATAAATTTTGAGAACAAAACAGTACCTTATAGATGGCTAAGGTTTATTTCTTGAAGAAACTTGAAAATCCAAGAGGACAAAAGTATTGAATTAGTTGTAAGATTTGTGAGTTGTTATTTGTTTGAGTAAATTTTTCTGTGAAGAAATGAGTGAGGGTTCAGAGGTATATATGAGTCAGAGAAAGGAAGGAAGGAGGAAAGGGTGACTTTTCTTCTTGGTGAGTTCAATTTTTTTCTACTCTGTTAATGGTCAAAGTCAAATCTTCAAAATTTGGTCCACTACATACAAGAAAATTATAGATATGGTCACTTATGTTTGAGATGAGGTTCAAAATAGCCCCTAAAGTATGTTATGGACACTTTTAGTTTTTTAAGTTAGTCAAAAGTTAATACTTCTCATCTTCGTTAAATATAATAACATATCAAGTGTAATTCAATAAGTGGAGGTTGGATAGAGTAAGATGTATGTAGACCTGATACATACTTTTTGTGGGGGTAGAGAGGTTGTTTGCTTAAAAAAAGTGAAATTAAAACAAGATCGAAAAGTTCTATCGATCTAATGAAAACAGTGAAAAGAAGGAATTTAGTGAAAAACTAATATCTAGAGGTAACGTTTTCGCAGTTTTTGCTTCTTTTTTTTTGTTTTTTTGAGATTCTGATACAGTATTTTAGGTGCAATTTTAAATATATTTTAGGTTTAGTGTAGTCTTTTTGTATTCACAATACCTATTTGATGAAATTTTTCTAGTGGTTTTGATTATTTAGTTTAACATTTCCGTCAAATATTTAACAGAAAAAGATTGTTAAACATTTAGCAAAAACTAAAAGTACTATTTTGACGGTTTTAATTTGCTTGTTAGTTTGTTTCAAAAAAATCTTTTTTTACAAGTCTTTTATTTCAATTTTTCATGTTACATGTATATGACCATAAGATAGGAAATAAAAATATATTTTGGTACATTTCATATATCCTTAATTTAAGATCAGAAGATTCAAAAATCTTCTATAATCTTTTATATTTCAAGTCAAGTCAAAAGAGACAAACAAGTCGAAACGAATAGAATAACTTTTAATAATTTAAAAGACTTAAATTATCCAAGGTAATACTTAAGGGAGTACTTTAAACATTACCATAAAAATAAGGGACAAGTTCTGTCATTTTCTCACTAGATTACATACCACTTGTGTGTCTTACTGGTTCCCACCTAAATGCAAATGAAAAATTCAAATGCAAATTCAAGTGAAATTCAAATTCAAATGTAAATGCAAATTAAAAATGATTGAAATTTTGAGCGCGTCTTAAAAGTGGAACCCATCGCCACGTCAAAGCTCCAATATATCATTACGTTTCCTCCGTTTCACTTTTACTTCTCCACTATACTAAACGTTACATTCACTTTTATTTATCTATTTTCATTTTAACATATCAAAACAAAAAAATCAATTATTTATATTCAAATCATTTTTCAATACTAAAATCAATTAATAGAATACCATAATAAAAATTGGACGTATTCTCTATCATTTAAAAAATTATAAAAATTTCTACTCTCTCATATTCTCGGATACATCACTTTACTCTATATATCAGGACGTTGAGTGATGTATCCGAAATTAAGACGCGGTGTATCAAAACGTTGAGAGATGTATCTGAATCTGGAATGCGATGTATCGAGATGTTTTGGGATTTATCTGGATCCCACCAAATTTAAGTGATTTTTGTAATTTTGAAAAAAAAAATAGGAATATGATACAATTAGCTTTTAACACTATGAGATTTGTATATAACCTCATAAAAAATATCTTAATTAAAATTATTTTTTGAATAACGTAGAAAATTTAAAGTGAACAAATAAAAATGAATAATCCGAGTAAAATTTAGACCGGCTCAACGGGTTTGTCCTGTATCACGTGTGATATTGGCTGCATTTTGGTTTCTGAATTGTGGCAGACGCGCCCCCCCGGCCCGGCCCATGGTCCCGCTGGTTATCAACACTTAAATAATTTGTTTTTCCACTTTTGTCATACTGATCCTATAAGGACAAAAGATTGACTCATATGTCACAATTTAAAGGGTAAAAAGAAAAAGTTGCAAAATTAATTTTTACAACTTTTTTTATTCTAGTAACTTGAAGTTTTATTGCAAAAAGTTGATATTTTCCTATAGTAGGTTTGGGAGGATTGGAAAGTGGACTTGGGTATGATTTTGGATAATTCTAATATCTTAAGTTACTTTTTATGGTTGAGTTAGATTTAATATAGTGATAGAGTTCGGCCTTTAATTATTCATGTATTTAGTATCAAATAGTGTTTGAGTGTGTAAGGGTTATGAATGAAATTCAACATCGGGGATGGATGAGTTTCTTAGACTCTTTACATGGCTTGAATAATCATTATCTTATGAGCTGCCTATTGAGGTTGAGTTAGTTTCAATGTCTATTTAACAATTGCTGATTTCATGATTTACTATTATCATTTTTTAAAATTAATTATTCTATATGAATCGCATGTGCTCATATTGATTGATTTAATGTGATACTTGTTATCTCCCACCAACATAATCATGGATCGAGTAACTCGGTTCACTGAGAATTGAACAAATGAAATTTAGTATTTTTTGCATGCATCTTCAAACTTTTAACTTGAGATATTAGTATATCAGTCAAGGTTCAATCCTTCTCCCTAGAAATTTCTGATTTTCTTTTCTCGGCGAGTGAAAGCTTGGCTCATGTTGATGAGTAAGACCCGATGAAGCTTATGTGCTAGGGCTTTCACAATCTGTTTTTCTTCAAGAATGTGAGATTGTCTGTTCTTTTTATTGATTGTTTATGATTCTTAACAAACTTCATTAATCACTAGAGCACGCAGTATGCATCGATAATCCAAAAAAATTGAGTACATTAATTTCTTATTCAAGTCACTTCTAGGTGTTTGGAAGATCTACCAATTGATCATATTTTCAAGGAACACAATGAGGTTATTGATCTTTTAACAAGTCACGTGTTTATAATTTTTATAATATAAATACTATACTTTGTGTTATATCATCATTTTTTGATTTGTCATAATGTTTTGACAATTTCATGGTCTTTTGTTTTGAGCACCTTTGACTCACACAACCACAAAAATAATTATATTTATATTAAGAAAGGAGAAAACATCAAATTGTATTGACTCTTATCTATATCTTGAGTTGCCAATTCAGACACAGGCTTTTGTAATTGACCTTTCACAATTAAAATGTCAACACATGCACTTATTTTTTATTATGATTACAAAAAATATTTAAAGGATTATTATTATCTTGTAGACCAAGAAAATTTTAAGATATGATCAAGAATAACTTTAATAATTTTTTCCTCTAAATAATCTCTCAATTGTATTATATTTACTTGAAGAAGACATTTCTAGGGTTCATCACTAATATGAACTGAAACATATGAAATGTGAAATAAGGGTCGGTGATTAATTATAACTATGCAGATATTAGTTATTCTTTTTTCTATCGAGTATAAAACAATATACTAAAGAATTGTTTGGTCGCTAATTAAAAGAAATATTATAAGTGTACAAGATTTTGCATAAGTAATACCATGCGGATATTAGTTATTCCAATTTCTATCCTACATAAAATAATACATAAATGCCCTTATAACATATACATATATTAAAAAAAAAAAAACATATACATATATTAAACAAATAACTTACTTCCTAACAAACTATCATACGTGATATTACTTCTGTAAAATTTAAGACATGCATAACTTACCTTCAAACCAGCTACTAAACGACCCCTAAATAAGCAAATGGGTCACCAACAAGGGCTATAGTGAAGTGGTAAGTCACCTTCATCCTTTACCAGAGGTCTCAGATTAGAGTCTCCCTATGTACGGAGTCGCCTTTATAAAGGAGCGTGTTACTTCAATGTGGAATTTCACGATGCGAATCTAAAATTTTATCCGACTTTAATGCAGATATAAAACACCGGGTCGAAAAAAACAAATGGGCTCAGGTGGGCTTTGTGCGCGTGAGGTTGGGAGGCACCAGCTAATAGATTACCGGGTATTCTAACCCAGTTGAAAATCTGGCACTTTCCGCGTGAGATTGGAGACTAATAAAATAAATTTAAAATAAAATTATTTTTGTCGTATTAGCTATTTATGTGTTTTTAATACTTTTCATTTTTATTTTTTTTTAGTGACACTTTTCCTTGACAATAGCTTTTTAAAATGTTATTTAATGCATTTTTATTTTATAAAAAGATAAATTCTACTAGTACTTTCATGGTACCATTTTTTAAAATTAATAATTAGACAAACAATTAGGAGGTTTGGTCATTGTACACCAAAATTTTTTATATTATTTTTGAAATTGAGGAAATATTATACTATCTTTTTTACTTTGAATTTTACATAAAATTCCGTAATTGTTATTTCTTTTGTTACCGTTATTGTTGAATCTATTTTTTTCTCTCACTATTTTCGAAATGATTTATCCACTGTTGTCTTTCATTTTCAAACCTATTTTGATATGCTTTACTTAAGTCGGGGATTTTTCAAAAGTAACCTCTCCACCTTTACATGCATATATCATACCCTCCTCAAACTTCACTTATAATATTGCACTAATTATGTAGCTTTTGTTATGCATTAAATCAAATTAAATTAATATAACAAATTATGGTGGCATTACAAAAGATCCAATGGAAAAGGTCCAAATGATATTAAGATGAGGGAAATTTTTAAGCTTGATAATTATAAACTCCAAATAGTTATGAAACACACAAAAGAATTAAAAATCTATATTTTGAGGAAAATTTCCCTAGGGCCCCAATTAATCAAATAACAAGTTTATTTTTCAAAATAAAAAAATAAATAACATAGACAAAATAGTCAGCATCCACTAAGAAGAGAATGATTAATTGAATATTGTAATTAACTTTTCTTGAATTAATCACACAGCCAATATATATTTATATGTATATTCTCCCACGTTTTCAATGCTCACTTTTATTCCACTCGTTATTTTTCATGCTTGTTATCTTTTTAGCAAATAAATAAATAAAAATATAACCCACAATGTTAAATATATTATTTGATTAATGATTGATGTTATAGAAAATCAGATTAAAAATGATAATTACACCATCAATTTAGTT